TGGTTGCAGTTATAAGGTTAAGGTTAAAAGCTGTCTGACTTTAATGGCTAAAACTTTAAGGTGTAACAAGGGAATATATTTACAATAACATTTGTTTAACAGTCAGCTGTATGTATGTGCATTGATTCAATGTGAATTATTTATTGCAGTCAGCATTTCATTGCACTGTCCTGTACCTGTGATACTGTGTGATGTGCAGTGATAATAAAGTTACATCTAATCTAATCTAATCTAATCTAATCTAATCTAATCTAATCTAATTTCAAGAAGGAAATAGGGGAAAAGCCCTTTGACCTTTCCGTTGTAGATTGAAGTCTGCCTAGATACAGTTTTCTTTTCCACGTCCCTTCCTCATTTCTAGCAAAATGTCTTTCTTTATCCAGTGGCGACCTCCGATGGCTTCCACAGCAAAAAAAAGTCACATGACCGTGTTTTGAAGAAAAGCGGCACCATTGTCACGTTAGACAATGAAGGCCTTTGAAGCGCCGTCTCTGATGTTAACTCTCCCATTTTTCTGATTCGTTGCATCATCATAAGGCAGTAGTGCGACGTTGTAAATGCCCACGATATGGTTTGGAACGCAGTGAATTTGCAGTTGCATATTATTTGTTCTAAATCTTTTTTTCTCCCTAAATCTTCCCGTTAACCTACTCCATTTCCCACTTGTCGACCGTTGACCTCTACGGTTCTCTCAGGACAGTCGGACAGTTATTGATAGTTTGTACTTGCCTGCTAGTCTCCGTGGAGTAATTTACGTGTTCTTCAGACCAGACATTACACTAATAAATCTCTTGATGCGCTCTCTTCCACACATGAGCGCTCTGTGCTTTCTTCCTCGTTCTTTTGAGCGAAGGCACGTCGGGGTTTTTTTTATTCTGCCACAAACAGATGGTGAGCGCGAGAATATTTGGGCCAGATTTATAGACGTTTCATTTCACTTCCAGTTTTAAAAGCCTAATCATATTCACAAGCTGTTATTGTTTCTGCAGGTGGAGACGGCAATACTCAAAAGATCTAATTTGTCTGTGATGAGCATCATCATACACCAGAGACCAAAGGTACGGTAAGATATGAAAAGCTCATTATCTTATATCCCCATAAACTATTTATTATGCTGCTGACAACACGCAGCATGAGCAGTAAAACAAGAATCACTCATAGGTCGCCTCTGTTTTCCCGCAGAAACCAGAATAATTAATTGTACTCTAATATGACCTGACCACTTTCACTTTTCCAATCTGGATGTGGAGAGTTTCATTCTTTGATACAGCCAACCGTGTGTAAGTGCATGTGTTCTACGGCGTTGACCTGGAATTATTTGATATATGGCATCATTAATTCTGCTTGACTTCTCTGCCGTGTCCGGAAAATGAGCTATGTCCGTCTTTGTTTCTCCGCCCGCAAAGATTTTACAATTTTTGTCAGCAAGCAAGACCAAATCGGTCTCGAAGCAATTACGAGGTTGGAGAGTCTGATCTCAGGTCATTAAGAGATAGGATTACTACTGGACCGCGGCACTCCAGGAATGTACAGACCCCTCTGGTGGTCTGCTCAACGCTGGCGAAATAGAATTGAATTAATGGTGTTGCCCGCAGTGAGAGCTGATTAGAACATGCCGCCTTTGATCCCTGAGCGAGGTGACCAGATCAGGCACCAGTGTCACGGGAACATTAGGGTGCAGGGCTGTGGTATCGGCATGTGTGTGTTGGTGCCTTTGTGCCTGTCCCGGTTCAGTGCATCACTGATTAACAGAACTCGTTACTATGTGCACGCCGTGCTGGGGATCAGCTCACGCTGGAGGGGGCTTCAGGTGTAGAATAACTCTGGTGGCGCGAGGCTGTTAAAGCCACAGCCTGTGGTCTGTCGTTGTCTAGTCCATGCAGAATGCAGAGCTTAGCTCACATGGTTGGGCAAATGAACTGTACTGCTGCATGTATTTTAAAACTCTTATCTGGGATCACAGCTGCAATCCATGCTCTGCAGTCTGAACCACGGGAGTCATGAGTAATGTGATTTGGAAGTTGACATTCGGCAAAATGTGTAGAAAGTAAACCAACTCCAAACTGATGCAGTGTGGACGCAGACTCCTGCTCTGTGACATTTAACTGTGCAAACGGCCACTGGCCAAAAGGAAACGTTGTTGTTGTTTTAACTGAATTGGCTAAAACACAGTTTACATTTAGAAGTGGAGACCTGACGTACACACCAAAAAAGTTACATATAATTATAACATAAATGTTATAATTTAATAACAAAATAATAATAATAATAATAATAATAACAATAATAATAATAATATATGAAGGAATACCAGGAATGCAGAGGCTTATTTTAGGGGTTTAAGAGAAACTGTTGGATATTTTAGTATTTTATAAAGATTAATGTGTCAAACTTTTTTTTTATATCTGACATTTTTATCCATAGTTTTCAAATCATTAAAGAATAAAAGTAAATGTGAGCAATAGTTGAACTTGAAATATATTTAGATGTGTTTATGGTTGTTTACTTTTCAACATTAGTTTTATGAATAAATTGAAGTGGCCATTAAAAACTATGAAAGTCTTTTTCTTTTGTCACATAAATAAATGATCCAGTGGAAAAACAACAACAAAACATTTTTGGAGAGAACAAACTGTTCTAAAAAAAGATACCAAAAAAAGTAAAAGCGTTCATTACCAGACCGCTTTTAAACCCCAGTAATTTACCAGATTTGTAGAAGTAAGAAAAAAAAAATATATTATGACATCACGGAAAAATCCGATTATGGAGTGACGTCACTTTAAATCCTAAAAATGTTTTCATCCTTTTGTCCAGTGCTGCCATTGTTCCTTTAGCCCGTTGACGTGGTTTCTCTGTTTTACTTTTCCCGTCAGTTTGCATCCCACGTGCTGTCAGCATCCGACAGCTTATCCTACCTCACAAGCAATGAAACAACCAAATCCCCCGAGGTTGTGGCTCGGATTTATTGCAGCATGAATTTGTGAGCTAAATAAACAGAGTGAGAACGGAGTCTTTTAATGTGTACGATGAGTGTGTAACAACAGGGAAAAGGTAAATTTTTAGGCGTACATTTTTAGACCCTTTATTAAATCTTTTCTCCCCACTGTCAAAAAGGTCTGGTAACAAATAACAACCCGTGTTTACCCTTTGGCTATACGGTGTCACCACCCATTGTTGTAGACCCCTAAATCTTGGATGGATTCAATTTTTTATTTTTATTTTTTTTCATTAGTCGACACCACTCTCCAAAATATATACTACATTGGAGTGGCAAACAGCTTCCCTGGCATTTTTTGCTGCAGGGCAAGACTGTTCTTCTTTGTTGTGCAGCCAAGTTTAAACGCAGTTCTTATATTATTTTGAGAGGGAAGGGACTTGGAGTCGCTTTAAATCAGTCCAGACCTGGTGTCACCGGGGCCAGAATCCTGCAGCGGGAGGTGAGAGGGAGGAGAACAGGAGTGTTATCTACGTGGTGTACAAGAATGTCAAACACTGGTGCATCCAGAACGCCCGAGTGCCCGTTGAGCCAGTTGAATTCGACTTTGAACACTCACTTTTTTCTTATGCACCTGCGGAGGTAATGGTCATCATCGCCCCTGTTTGCTCAGCAGCGTGCTGTTTATGTTCGGCCCCCAGACGTTGAGCCGGTGCCGTCTGCCTGAGTCATTCTCAGACACCTCCAGTAATGATAGATGACACGTTTCTGTGAAGAGGTAAACAAGACTCCTGGTGGCCCGCGGGGCTGCTCGGACGGAGGTGCCGTCGGCTGACAGCCCGCTCTGGTTGTAGGGGAAGGTTGACGGGCAGTGGTGAGTTAGAAGACTCAGCCATTCATTAGAAAGTAAGCCATATCTCTCCGGTTGAAGAATGCAGTGAATTATAGCGGGGCATGTGCAGTGACTCCTTTCTTTAGCTGAATACTAATCACCTTTTTAGTAGCTGAACAAGAAATTCCTGCTCGCACTTGTGTGAAGGATTTTCCTTGAATTTGCACTGGGCAGTAAATCCTTCAGAACAGAACTTCTGCCTTCACCTTCTGACAAGGAGCAGAGCCAAACAAAAATGTTTGACTAATAGGGAAAAAAGTGCTCCTTTTTCTAGTTTTTCAGAACATTTTCTAGTGTTCACCGTCGTGTCGTTTACTTTTTAACGTAAAAAAACTTTTGAGTGTGTGTTTTTTACTGCACCAGTTTGACTGTTGGATTCTTTTTATTTTTTTCCTTTTACTCTGAAGGTGTGTGGCATAAACAAACCTGTGATTGACATAAAACTCATACCAGTCTGGGACTATTTCTAGAAATAACTCTGGTGCCACTGTGAAATGCACTGAGGTTTACCTGTCTGTGAAACATTTATTTATTTAAAAAAAAAAAATCCTCAAAAGTACAGGAGAAAAAAACACAACATTTTCTCCAAGGTCAGGGTATCACTGTGTGCCAGATTGGGCTTCAGTTTTAGTCTTCATTAAAGCTGCCAAACAAGACAGTTTCTCCTAAAAAAAGAAATGATGTGGGATTATTCTTCTTAGCCAACTCTGAAATCCGATCTATTTCCAGGACCAATTTTCCTGAAAACGCCTTATTTGAATTAATGTCACAGCACTTGACAACCTAATTATTAGAATAAAAGAAAATTGCACTGTGCATGTTTACTTTAAATGAATGATATGGTAGTCTCGGGGTTTGGAGACATTTTTACCATCTGCAAAATGTGGGCTATCGTGGTGCAGGGTAGGAATCCTCCACAAAACGGATTAATTTTATTAATTGCTAATATGATGTAAAATGACAATTACATACAACGTTTCTGTTAAGCTCTGAAAATCCTTGTAAAGGTCAAAGATCACCAGTCTCCCAGATGTCTCCTTCAAAATATGTATTTTCAAAAGTGTCTCAATATACTTACCTTATACCTAAAGGTGTACTGGCCTTAAACACATCACTGACATTGAAGTGTCT